ATCATTTTTTATGGGAAAGTTTGATGTAGCGTCAATTCAGGGCAGGAGGGTGAATTAGAATGGGGGTTTTGTTTGGAAAAGTTTACCTTAGCATCAATCACAATCAGACCATGATTGTGAAAAGTTTTCTAATGGTTTGTCACTGGGAAGAACATTTATGGATGGTCTACAATGAAAAGTGATATGGTTGTGGACACAGAAACTACGAGGGCAAAGGAGAAGCCTAATGAACTTGGCATGAGGGTAATGAGGATGTCGTAAGACATGGCCATCTACACATCGTCCTGAAAATAAAGAGTAAATAAAAGCTAAACCCACTCGCCCAGGAAGAGGAATAATTGAGTTGTGTTATGCTGAGAGTGCAACGTACTTTTAATTTTTGTTTTGTTACATTCTATTTTTAATCTGCTGTGCAGCCTGATTTATTGAAATTGATTCCATCTTTAATTTACAGGCTACAGACAGTAACCAAAGCACGAAAACAAAAAGCATTGTTTGTTCTAATTGTGATGGAAATGGTAAGTGAACTGCAGAGTTTTTGGTGACCTCTTTTCTTCTTTGTTTCTAATCTTCGCGATATGCTTCTTGCATTCACCCCTTGCAGGTTTTTTTTTTCTTTAGGTTCTTTACCTAGTCTACTTCTCATGGCATTTATGATTTTCTGGCCCTAATTGTTGATTAGAGGAGCATGCAAGAAAAGGAATTTCAATCACAATATCAGATTTATTTCGTGTTCTTATGACTGCTAATAACAGAAGCCTTTACAAATTGCTGATGCTTGCTTAGCTGATAGTTTTTAATATAAATGCCAACAGATATTGCTGCAGAGAAAGCATTGTAGAAACTTCGAATATTTTCCGGCTTAAATTTACAACAAACGTTTGTTGGGTGCAGCAGTTGTGCATTTCTTTTTTTCAATTTGGTACGCTTTTCTGGTTTTTCTCTTCACGAAGACTGGAGCACTTCGGTTTCTGAGGACACAAAACTAATGCCCTGACGTTGTTATGTGCAAGATTTAGGCCTGGCAAAGTATGTAATTTGTTCGTAAAAGTAGAAGTGTGTATTGTCCCCCCACTTTGATTGCCTCAATTGTATAACCTTATAGGGCATTTCCAATTTATTTGTCATGCTCTCACATCTTTTTCTTGAAATTCTGACACATAGTGCATAGTTTTTTACTGAGCACATCATCAGTTTATGTTACCTTCATATTCACATGGACTAGTGAAAACTGGTTTGGCAGATTGTTGTTCAGTTGGTGTTCTCAACTTTTGCCCTTAACTGATTCTGATGCTACATTTCTCTGGAATTGTTCAAGTCTCCATGACATTATGTAATCACTTGTGTTATATACAAACAAATCTGCATTTGGATTTTTTATTGTTGTTGGTAAGTATGACAAATTTTTTTGTTTTTTACTAATACAATTTTTTTTTCTATTTTGCAAATTAGCAATTTCAACAGCATGATTCATAAGTTTTCTTTCCTTGATTACATCCAATGAAGAATGTCATCTCTGTGTTTGTTGTCTATACAATTACCAGGTGCTATATTGTGCTCACAATGCAAAGGAACTGGAGTTAATTCTGTGGATCACTTTAACGGCCAGTTTAAAGCTGGTGGATTATGTTGGCTTTGCAGGTATGTGTTGCAATTTTTTGGCTTTTAAGCTAGGCATTTAATGTTGAATAAACACTATAGTACTTGCATTAGTGTAAGACTGCTCAGAGTCATCAATCCATTACCATTGTTACATCCACATTTTCTAATTTGGCGTTGGCCATTACTTTATCTAAACTATGGAGATTTGTATATAAAAAAGTCTAGATTGGGCTGAAATTATGAGATCACTCGGAGATGAGACTAAGTTTTTAGTTCAATATTCTAGAGAAAAATTGGGCTTTTGGAAATTTATGCTCTTGTCTATTATGTAGAGCAATCGTTGCAGTTTGCCTATCAGACAAGTTTGTCATTCTGAAACCTCATGCACGTAGGAATCTTGATGCCCTATTTGATGGTCTTCATTATGAAAGACCTACCAGATTAAATATTACTGCTATGCATTTACTATGGCATTTTATGACTCAGGAATATCAGTAACAAGTAACAACACTCCTCTGATCTGTTAACCTTTTGATGCCTCTGTTTTTCTCTCCCCTGCAGAGGTAAGAAGGAGATTTTGTGTGGAGATTGTAATGGAGCCGGCTTTGTTGGTGGATTCATGAGCACATCTGATGGTTAGTTTATAGGTTTGGATCTTCGGTGAATTGCGTTGCTGTAAAAGATGGAAAGCTATAGGTTATTGTTTTTCTATTCTGTATCTTAAAGGTTGAGGGCAAGCATCAGTTGACATGTTGCTTAGCCAGTTTGTGATGAGCATCAGTTTACGACTTTGGTAAATTTCTCACACTTGCCCGGAGAAAAAAAAAGACTCGTCACCATAAAAATTATACAATTTTTTTTTTTAAATATTGGCTATATATATATATATATTTTTTATTTATTTATTTTTTTTTAAAAAAAAATTAAAAATTATTACCTACATATATATTTTTTAAAAAAAATTTAAAAATTATTACCTACATATATTTTAAATAATTTTTGGCATATTTCATGATGTCCATCCTATATATTTTATGTTCATCCTATCAATTTTTGGTCCTATCAAAGTATTATGGATACATATCTAATTAATATGAAAATTTGGACACACTTTATACTTTATGGATACGTCTAGACAAGTTTTGATATATTAAATTTATTTTTTTTAAATTGTGAAACTGTGAGGACTAAATTGTATAATAAAAAAAAAGTGATTTGATTATTTATATGGAGGAAGATATTTTCTATAGTATTAATAATGAAGTTATCATACAATGTTTTTAAAATATGCAAATTCATCGAGATCAATTGTAAATAATTGTAATTAACCTCTTTTTTATTATTTTTTTTATATATGTTATATTGACATTGAATTGTTTTTGTATCTAATGAATGTTTGAGAATCAAATATAATATAATAAGTTTAAATATATTTTTATTGAGTGGAAAAAAATTAAATTTATATTTAAAGTGTTTGCACCGAATAGAATTTATAGCTCTGCCTCTGGCTTTGGAGTTCTATCATTTTTCTACCATTTTATCTTCTTCTTTTTCTGAATACCGGATAGTAACAAGTGAAAATAATCTGAAAAAGGATTGAAAATGAACTAATTTTACTATGTTTTGTTTGGTACGATAGAAAATTGAAAGGATGAAAAGTTGAAGAGATAGATATTAGTTTTCTTTTCAACCTATTAAAATTAATTTCTCAAAAATTAAGAGGAAAACTGAATAAAAAGTTAATTATATGTGTTGATANTATAGGTTATTGTTTTTCTATTCTGTATCTTAAAGGTTGAGGGCAAGCATCAGTTGACATGTTGCTTAGCCAGTTTGTGATGAGCATCAGTTTACGACTTTGGTAAATTTCTCACACTTGCCCGGAGAAAAAAAAAGACTCGTCACCATAAAAATTATACAATTTTTTTTTTTAAATATTGGCTATATATATATATATATTTTTTATTTATTTATTTTTTTTTAAAAAAAAATTAAAAATTATTACCTACATATATATTTTTTAAAAAAAATTTAAAAATTATTACCTACATATATTTTAAATAATTTTTGGCATATTTCATGATGTCCATCCTATATATTTTATGTTCATCCTATCAATTTTTGGTCCTATCAAAGTATTATGGATACATATCTAATTAATATGAAAATTTGGACACACTTTATACTTTATGGATACGTCTAGACAAGTTTTGATATATTAAATTTATTTTTTTTAAATTGTGAAACTGTGAGGACTAAATTGTATAATAAAAAAAAAGTGATTTGATTATTTATATGGAGGAAGATATTTTCTATAGTATTAATAATGAAGTTATCATACAATGTTTTTAAAATATGCAAATTCATCGAGATCAATTGTAAATAATTGTAATTAACCTCTTTTTTATTATTTTTTTTATATATGTTATATTGACATTGAATTGTTTTTGTATCTAATGAATGTTTGAGAATCAAATATAATATAATAAGTTTAAATATATTTTTATTGAGTGGAAAAAAATTAAATTTATATTTAAAGTGTTTGCACCGAATAGAATTTATAGCTCTGCCTCTGGCTTTGGAGTTCTATCATTTTTCTACCATTTTATCTTCTTCTTTTTCTGAATACCGGATAGTAACAAGTGAAAATAATCTGAAAAAGGATTGAAAATGAACTAATTTTACTATGTTTTGTTTGGTACGATAGAAAATTGAAAGGATGAAAAGTTGAAGAGATAGATATTAGTTTTCTTTTCAACCTATTAAAATTAATTTCTCAAAAATTAAGAGGAAAACTGAATAAAAAGTTAATTATATGTGTTGATATGTATATTATTTACCAATATGATATAATAGTAAAATATGTATCTATTTTTTTTTTTCAATTCTTTCACTTTTTCATCCTACAAAACACAAGCACTCAAAAGAAAAAAAAAAGAGACAAATGAGCTCTTCCTACTTTAATTTCATCCCTCCTACCAAACATAAAGAAGGAAAGAAAGATTCTTCCTTTGAAGGAAAATGTATTACTTTGATTCTTTCATTTTTTTCATCCATTTTATCAAACACACCATTAATGTTCTCCTCTTTTTGGGTTTTCTGCCGATGAATTTAAAAAAAGAAGAAGAAATAAATTGACTCCGATCTGAAAAATTCACCAAATCTACGAAAACAATATGAAGAATAAACAAGAACAGTGTGCAACCTCATCTCATATTTCATTCAGTTCTTTTTACCCTTTTCTTTTTCTTTTTTGTGAGATTTTTTTTGTCGTTGTTGTTGATAAACAGTAGCCACAAATCATGGTGATATTGGCAGAGGATAATATAAAATAGATTGATAATTATATTCCACCAAAAGGTAGGTAGGACAATAATCAATACAGATCAACTACAGCAATTAAAGCCAAGTAACTCACATTGGCCTCTTCTACATAACTGCAGAGCTGGACCTGGACCTGGACCTGGACACACTCTTACAATGATTGAACCCAAGCCACACCCCATTGGGTAAAAAAGTATCATAGTAAAATGTAATAGCCCTCGTATTAGGACCGTAGATCTTCACACTCTCTGGTTTCCAACCGTCCGATCCTACCCTCAACAAGTAGATGTAACAAATCTCATATGTACATGGCCCTTGAATCTGAAACGTATCCGTAGAGCACCTCTCAAACGTCCTCGAAGCTGGATCATCTAGTCTTGCTGCATAGACCTACCCAATACCCATGAAAATTCAAAAGAGATCTGAGGAAAATGGAAGATACCAATCTGTTTAAATCTGATTTGCTATAATGGGTGGTTTTTACTTTTTGTTTTAGTGATTGTTGCACATTGAAAAGTTTCATAACCTATTACCAATAACAATCTAATTATTTATAACTCATACGAGTCAAATTTTTGATATGGCTTGTAATTTTTGACATTGAATTGTAATTTTATTTGATTGGATAGTACTTTGATACGACAAGCTTTTCATCAAATTGAACTCCGATCTCGATTATCTAGTCTTGCTTCGTTGGCCTACAGATGAGAAAATCCACAGAAGACGACGGAAATGGATGATACCCATTTGTAGGAAATTGATTTGCTTTAATGGGATGCTTTTAGACATTTGTTTTAGTGAATAATTTATTAGTTTGGATTGAAACATACCTCGTTGCCATAAGAATCACCAAATGCGAGACTGACTTTGTCTCTGGTGTATGATGTTGAGGAACAGCTTGTTTTGGTGGTCAGTATGTATGAACAGCTCCTTGCAGTCTGATCATGACAAAGTGTGCATTAAAAAGGAATTAATGGAACGTATGGGGTGTGTATTTGAGTGTGTGTGTGTGTGTGTGTGTGTTTATACCTGGTTGGGTTTGATCTTGAAGGTTCTGAGAAGCTGAGGCTGAGTTGTTGTGGTGGATCTTGCTTGACAAGAGATGAAGAGGAAGGCAAAGAGAAGCAGAAATGAGAGACTTCTGACCATCATCTCACAGGTGTTGAGAGAGATATACCTCTTCAATACTCTATTATGCACACTATTTAAAAGTTTACATCTATATATGCACATTGCATTATTTATTTTTCTGTTTCTTTTGTGAGTTTTGTTTTTTATTATTATTATTTTTTTGTGTGTGTATGTGGGTCTGGGTCACACCCATATACTTTAGGTGTTAGTGCGTCTCGGCTATGTATAAACTTTAGAATGAGACTGATCATAATTGATATGAATCTAACCAAATATGAATCGAATAAGGAGACATTGATTGATATGTCAATTACCTAAATCCACATTTATTTTATCATTGTTTAAGGTTTTGGATTTAAATAAACCATTATCTTATTCGATTTCACTTTTGATTCAAATGGCATTATGAAATTCAATGATTATTTGACAATGTTGAGTTAAAATGAGATGTAAATTTTCCTAAAATTCAACTTTAATAAAACTATTCGAATTGAGTTGGATTGAATATTTTCCAATTTTAACCTCGGACAACCATGTCTATGTCTAGAGAATCAATATCAAAGTAGGCAACCAAACCACAGTTTGCCTGGTGGAGCAGCCAACAAGAGAGATTATTCCATTATCACAATCCACAAATCGAAATGCTTGGAAGTTTTTGCAAACAGTGCACTTTCACTTTGTAAAACTTGTAAAAATAGAGAAGAAGAACAACATCATTATGTCAAACAACCAATTCCAACCTCTATCTACTAAGCAACCCTGTAACCCTTACACAGAATTGAAAAGTTACCCTGTGAATTACGAATTTTTTATAGCTAGAAACTTGATTGATGATGCTATCAGGGGGACAAGTAGAGGGAAATGATCATAAAGTCTAAAAGGAAAAAGAAGAAATGCTGCTAAAAGACATCACACTGCACTGCTTAGGTTAGGCCTCCAACCAACAGTTTTCTTGCAGTTGCAGGCTTGCAGCATACTAAGCTCATCATCAGCATGCCCACACGAACACAGACGCATACGGAACACAGATACTACGACAACAGGAGCGGAAATTGTGCTCATGACAATATTAAATAGAGGATGTCCCCTGAGAACTTGAAAGATTTCTCGGTTTCTTCCAAACAATGATTCTTCTCCTCTCTAGTCCAACTCTAAGTAAACCACACGTCAATGCATTAGATAGCAGGAATGGTACAAAAACTTCTTCTACAGAAGAGCAAAATAGGAATATAGTCTAATGGAAAGAGTTGCAAAGAAAGGTCAATAAGGAATTACTTCAGCAACTCTGTTCAACTTCTCCCTAACATTCTGCAACAATTGAGACAGGTCACCGTCCCAGTTGTAGTATTCCAACTCCTTTTTGTTGAGTATCTTTTCAGCTACCTGAAGGGAATGAGAAAAAAATTTTGAGATGTGTACCTCCTATACTTAAAGAAAAAATGTTTTAGATGGTAGTACCAATGCAAAAACGATACAATCGTGTGTCATCTGTGCATCTTCTCCTTTGGGTGGGCTTGAGATTCCACTCAAGTTAACAATAGGTGATACGAAACTTGGACGTTGATATTACCGTTAGCTGCACTTCATGACAAAATCATGCAGTGCAAATGGATTGAATCGGACTTTTAACTGTTTGGTCCCATTCTTTCAGACTTGCTTGTAATCGTGCAAGTTACTACAGATTCAACCACAGTTACCATGGCAGCTAAGCTAATCCATGGCTAAGGTAGATACAAAGATAATGGTAAATCGAAATTGGTCTGAAACTCCCTAAGAGCAGTAGGCCACACAAATGAAATGATAATGGTCCTATATATATAAACCAGTGTCTCCCCATGTGTTCAAAACTGATGCGTACCTTTCTCCCAATCATTCTACCACCAGCTGTATGGGCAAAGTATATGTTGTAAAAGTGGCAAAGGTATGCTTGAGGATCTTTTTCTGATAATTCCTCAAGATAGTGAGCATAGCTAACACCAGGAGCAGACAGTTCTGGAATGATATGACCTTGCTCTTTGAACCATTTTAGATCTTTTGCCAGACTTTCCGACCTTTCTAACCCTGTGTTCCTGAACTCAGCATCTGAGCCAAACAAAAAGCATAATCACTTTTAGTCCAATCACAATATCATTCTTCTGAAGCTACCAATCTTCTAAAATGTGTATATTGTTCAAAGATTACCAATCCAAAAGGCAATGATCTTTGTTTAACCCCTAAATTTGACACTAGAACTAGAATACTTCTATTCAGTCACCTAAATACACTTGTTAGTGACAGCTTTAAGATTTTTTTGATAAGAAACGAGGGTGACGGGCTTTAAGATCAACAAGTCGAAGTTAGTAGTACATTTGCTCAACTAATCAATTTCTTGTTTCTTGTACCATACAATAGCAACATACCATCAATTTATATTCTAAAACACATTGGTCTCTAAAATATAAAGTTTATCTCATTTTGGTCCATAATATTTCAATTGGATCATTTTGATTCTGAAGTATTGAATATATTTTTATGTGGTCCATCAAGTAGACAACATTCAAATTCCTAACGATTTTTTATCATAAATTTTTTACATGATACATATATATGGGTAAAAAATAATTTAGGTAGCTCTTGACCAAAATTTTGGATAGTTTATGATTAAAAGTGTGTAATTTGGATAACTCTTAACCAAATTTTTACCCAAATTTTGGTCAAGAGTTATTCAAATTATTTTTTTACTTATATTTAGGTATTACGTGACAAGTTTATAACAAAAAATTGTTAACAATCTAGACACTGTCTAGATGAGAAATTACATAAAAATATATTCAATATTTTAGAAATTAAAATGATGCAATTAAAATATTAAAAATTAAAATAAGATAAACCTCATTCTTTAGAAACCTCCGATATAATAAACCGACAAATAAAACCCACCAACCACAAAGCACTAAAACGTTTAATGATAAGCCGCCAATAGGAATTAAACAAGTACAAATCAAAAAACCCTAGTATAAGACTATCCCAATTATCAAGGATAAGCTATCCCCTTATCACCTTAAAACCAAGTCAGACCAGCAATAAAATATATATAAAAAAAATAAAAACCAAAAAAAGCAATTAAATAAACTTACATTCAGGGAAAACTGCTTTATCCACAATCCTCTCAATGGTATCATACACCAACTTACTATCCACCAAGAACCTCAAATATCCAACAATTGATGGGTCCCATTTCGCCAATGGCGGTCCTTCTGGCTCCTTCTCACCCTCCTTAGCCTGATCCCTAGTATGCAATTTCATTGCCACAAACCTCATCTCCTCCACAAACTCCATAGCCTCACCAGAACACCTTTTTTTGGGTTTCTCCGCCGCCATTGTAGGTGAAACCACCACCATCTTCTTAGTCACCAAGAAACACTTCTTTTTTATTGAAAATCTAGAATTAGCACCTGGGTTTGGCGTAATGGGTGTGGAGAAAAAATGGGTTTGAAGCTTTTTTGGTGTATTGAACTGGGGTTTCTTTAAATGGGGTTGGGATTGAGAAATAGGTGTGATGGAAGCCATNAGTATTGAATATATTTTTATGTGGTCCATCAAGTAGACAACATTCAAATTCCTAACGATTTTTTATCATAAATTTTTTACATGATACATATATATGGGTAAAAAATAATTTAGGTAGCTCTTGACCAAAATTTTGGATAGTTTATGATTAAAAGTGTGTAATTTGGATAACTCTTAACCAAATTTTTACCCAAATTTTGGTCAAGAGTTATTCAAATTATTTTTTTACTTATATTTAGGTATTACGTGACAAGTTTATAACAAAAAATTGTTAACAATCTAGACACTGTCTAGATGAGAAATTACATAAAAATATATTCAATATTTTAGAAATTAAAATGATGCAATTAAAATATTAAAAATTAAAATAAGATAAACCTCATTCTTTAGAAACCTCCGATATAATAAACCGACAAATAAAACCCACCAACCACAAAGCACTAAAACGTTTAATGATAAGCCGCCAATAGGAATTAAACAAGTACAAATCAAAAAACCCTAGTATAAGACTATCCCAATTATCAAGGATAAGCTATCCCCTTATCACCTTAAAACCAAGTCAGACCAGCAATAAAATATATATAAAAAAAATAAAAACCAAAAAAAGCAATTAAATAAACTTACATTCAGGGAAAACTGCTTTATCCACAATCCTCTCAATGGTATCATACACCAACTTACTATCCACCAAGAACCTCAAATATCCAACAATTGATGGGTCCCATTTCGCCAATGGCGGTCCTTCTGGCTCCTTCTCACCCTCCTTAGCCTGATCCCTAGTATGCAATTTCATTGCCACAAACCTCATCTCCTCCACAAACTCCATAGCCTCACCAGAACACCTTTTTTTGGGTTTCTCCGCCGCCATTGTAGGTGAAACCACCACCATCTTCTTAGTCACCAAGAAACACTTCTTTTTTATTGAAAATCTAGAATTAGCACCTGGGTTTGGCGTAATGGGTGTGGAGAAAAAATGGGTTTGAAGCTTTTTTGGTGTATTGAACTGGGGTTTCTTTAAATGGGGTTGGGATTGAGAAATAGGTGTGATGGAAGCCATGACTAGGAAGAGTGTATAAGAGGGGCTTTTGGAGTGACAAAGACAGACTAGGAAGAGTGTATAAGAGGGGCTTTTGGAGTGACAAAGACAGACTAGGAAGAGTGTATAAGAGGGACTTTTGGAGTGACAAAGACAGATTAACCTTAATCTTTTAAGCAAAACAAGAGTGTTGAGTGCGACAGATTAAAATTATTGTTTCAAGCAAAAGAGGAGTGCCTGTGTGATGAGAGAGAAAGCTTTTGAGCTTGCTGTTGTCGTACTCCTGAAGGCAAACCCATAGATACAAAAAAATTATATATAATTGTGCCTTTATCGGTGTGTAATGTGTATAGTCCCAATTTCCAATATAAATAACAATGCTTTGGGTTGCGTGGTAATGTATGGGGTCTGATGTCTGTGTCTGGACAAAGCTTCTTCCATGGATAAGCTTCTGGATATGTTTATTGCACGATGAAACAAAACGTTTCGTCACGGCAAAGCCATTTTCGTGTACATTTACGACGACGGTGGACTTTGGGAGGTGGTTATACGGTGGCGTGTACGGTGGTTTTGTTTTGAGTGGATTGTGGACTGTAAAAACTGACCTGGCACGGCTGATGTCTATTATTTGCACTTAATTTGTTATTCTAACCTATTATAATCATTCGAAAGATCTTAACTACTGGACCCGAAAAAAAAAGATCTTAACTAATAATAAAAAGTGCTTTGATCGGTAAATAAAATTAATAAATTATATCTAAATAGCATTATTGTCAATTAAATTTGGAGAGAGAAAATAGTGATAAAAAATAATGCTATGTTACCTAAAAAAATTAATATTATGTCAAAAAATTATTTATAATCATAAATTTTTAAATGCTTTATATATAGTCATTGATTTTGAGGATAAAAAAATAAAATAAATGTTAATGTATCACATTCTCATTGAATGAGAAAAGAAAATATAGTCGGTTAAAAAAAAAGAGTAGAAAATATAGTATTAAAAATATTTTTTTTGTACCAGGGGATAAAATGACTAAGTTAAGAGTAAATTAAAATTTATCCCCCTAAACTATTAATTTTGTTTTATTTTGTATCCTCAATTATAAAATTTCTCACATTGTATCTTAAAGTATCAATTTTATTTCATATCACTCCAATAGATAACGACAAACTTGAAAATTTGTCAAAAGAGAGAGGAAAACCCCAAAAAACTTAGCATCAAGTACTTAGAACCACTTTATTTTCTCTCTTTTATAATTAAATGGTTGATGATAAGAAAAAAAGGTCGGCCTAAAGAAAAATATTTAGAGGTTAGGAAGAGCAAAATCATTGATGAATATTTTTCTTGGTTTTTGACCTAAACATGTGCAATATGCAGTTATTTATTGATAGTACAAATCACTCACATTCGTATTTATCGCCAATAGATTAACATCCGTTATCTATTGGAGTGTTATGAAATAAAATTGATATTTTAGGGTACAGTGTGAGAAATTTTATAATTAAAGGTATAAAGTAAAATAAAAGTAATAGTTGAAGAGAGGGGAAAGTGTAATTTATCCTTAAATTAATGCTGTCGAATAGGCCTGCCGGGCCAGGTATTTAATGGGCTAGGCCGAGCCCAATTAGTCTGTCCGAGAAGCCACAACCCATATCTTGTCCATTGAGTTTTGTTAATCATGTGCAAGGGGGTTATTACAAGTTTGAATCGAGTACAATTTGTGTAATCAACGGTGTTAGATATTCAGACATTAATATAACTTATTTATTACTAAATTAGTGTTCGAGTTAGAACACATAGCCAATGAACCAAAAATTTATGGATATAACATATTTCTCTTTCAATTAAACAAATCACTCGTAGGTTTCGGTGAAAAAAATAGAAAAAAAAAGAAGAAATTTTCTTCAAATTAGGGTTTCGTTTGTTAAAATACTACGTGACACGACTGATTGATACAAAGTTAAACTAGTTTGAATGAGTTTTTAACGGGTACGAGTAGCACTCGAATGGACCCGTTACACCCATTTAATAAACAACTTGTATTTAAGTGAGATATGTCAATTCGCTTATCACTTATTTAACCGTTTAAATAAAATTATTACAATAATAAAATTAAAAATATAAAAAAAAAAAACTTAGTCAGGGTAATATATGCATTTTAATTATTAGATCGGTTAAAAAAAGTTTAATAATTATCTTTTTATTATATTAATAAAAAAAAAAAATTTAAACGGGTTAAATGAATCGTGTCAAATAACACATTTAATAAACGAATCGTGTTCGATTTATAGATTTTCACTCATTTAATTAAACAAATCATGTACAGATTAAATAATTTATCACACGAACCTATTTAATCCGACATAATTGAAAGACTAAAATTATGAATGTCACAAATAAGAAGAAACGTACTTCAGGCAATAACGAATACCAACTGACTCAGCCTACAGTCGATTCAGGATCATAAGGATCCAATTCCTAATGCCCAGGTTATGTGATGCCTCAAGAGTTGAAAGCTCACATGCCATAATTTTACCACAAGACCAGCACATATCCGTATATGTATGTCTGCTTAAGCTCAACACTCAGCAAATAGACAATGGCCCATGGGCTGACCTATAGGCCCAAGAATGACAAGGCAATAGGTGTTTGATAGCCCAATGAAAAGTTCCATGGGCCGTGGTTTAAAACCAAGCCCAACTGGATGGCTCAATTAACGTCTGCGAAGATCGCCCCTAAATTATGCCAATGGACTGTAGAAGTTTCAAAAAAAGAAAAAAAGAGAAAAGGGAGAAGGGTCGAATTTGAATTTGAATTTGAATTTGAATATATGATTTCATTGTGACCTGATTACACATTAGATGAAATGGAGCGACTTTTGGGAAAAATTTGCTAAATTTTAAGTTTATTCAATTATTCGAATTAAAACTCTTATTTTATTTATGAATTTTGATATGACATTTAAATTTGAAATTCGTTGAATATTCGGATCAAATTTAAAATTCAAAATTTTCATCCCAATCCATATAAATTTGTGCGGGCTCAAACATGACAACAAAGGATGTGTAACCTTGAGGGGGGTAGTAAAGGCGATTTGTAAATTCAAGTGTTATGAGTTTGAATCTTAACAATTTTTTATGGTTAGATCATGAGAAATTTATCCCTCATACATACCTTAGTCCCGACGTAAATGATCTGTCTTTGACCGAATTGAAAAGAAAATTAGTCGAGGTACATGTAAATTGATCCGAACACTCTTTATTGTTAAATTAAAAAAATAAATAAATAACGAAATACATGTCCGAGGAATATTTTGAGGCATGGCGTTTGAGGGAGCCACCAAGAGAAGACAGATCGTTGAAGTCCAGTAGTTGGTATGAGGGTTGGTAAGGTGTTGTACCAAGGCAAAAACCAAAAATATTTGGCATTAAAAGTTGTTGGCCTACCGTTCAATACACAATAATGTATCTTACATTACATGGAGACAAATTCGAGGCTGCATTCCTTATGGACTGGTTTAATCATTGAATTAGGCACAAACTCGTCCAATGTATAGAATTTACGATCCTCTCCAATTCTTCTACATTTTCTCTATCCTATTTTTTGGAACATCTTATGGCAATTATAGTAAGTTGTATGGTGATCTATATAAGATTTGTCAATTTTTTTTGAATGAGAGGTATTTAATTAGTGAGTTAGAAAGATGGTTACATGAAATATATGTGGTAAAATGTAATTGACGTACATTAATTACCCACAGACTCTCACATGGTGGTAGCATGTGGGAGTTGATTAAACTACGTTGTCCGATTCAATTATACATAGATGAGCCTTGATTTGTACTTAAACGAATCTTCACTATAAATTCCCGCATGTAATGTAATCTCAGATGAAATAGGGTGTCCAATCATTGATTATCTCCTATTAGTAAAGGTAAGATCTGTAGAAGCCCTTTTTTGGAACAAAATTTTATGTTGTAACTGATAGATAAAAATTATAAGAAATAAAAAATAGGGAGGAAAAACTTCCTAATCTCTCGCTCCCCCTCCCCCCTGAAAAAATAAAAAATAAATTAAGTGTAATAAGATACGACGGAGATAAAAAAAACGAGGAATAAACTCATGTTTTGAGTTACATAACTATTAGAATAAAAAAAAAACTAGATTTAACCGATTATGTCTAAAAAATTACGATTCTTGTTAGAAAGAAAAAAATTCAAGATAATTATTTAACACCACCCTCAAATGGTTAATAGGATGTTGGAGTAGGAAGTTCGATGGGACATAAAGCATGGTTCTTTTCGAGTCCATGAATTTTTATATCAAGATCGGTACTTTTTTAATCACTATGTAATTAATTACCAACCTAATCCACTTGTGATCTATGGTGCAAGACAGAAGAAGAGAGTAGTCATCAATCTTGTTCTTGCTGGGCTACAACAAAATCTTACAAACCAATCTCAAAACCTCCACATTTTTTATTTCTCTCAGCATTTATTATACAAGAAGATCTTAGAGATTTTAAGTTTGATTCTTCCCCTAGGCAAATTTGTTTATATGCGTTTATTCAGGAAATGTAGGTGGGAGGCTCCGTCAATGATACTCCTTATCTTATGAAGGTTTTATCTTTTTGAGATCAAGAATTCAAATCCCTCTTCTCCCTCCCCTCCTTTCCCAAGAAAAAAAAAGTGTTAATAGACTACAATTCTAATTTATAAACTCAAAGAAGTCAAGGATGTAGCCATTAGTGGACTACGATGGGTTGAAACCCAAAGTTAAAAAAAAAAAAAATTATTAGTAGGATATATGTATTATATATTTATATGATATATTATGTGTGTCTCCTCATTTATATTAGACCCACATTATTTATCCAAAAAAATTAAAAAATTTAACTCATTTAAAACAAAAAAAATTGAGCTCAATATTATTTATCCAAACTTATTAAAATCTACTCAAACTTATTACAAAAACTTTTGAACCGACATTAAAAAAATAAAATTTTTGACCCAACATTCAAAACAAAATTTTTAAGCTACAAT